AAAAAAAAAAAAGATTCAGTAAAATGAGGAACTAAACTGTTCTGAATAATCAGTATCCCCTGCCACCGCCCATCACCCCCTGCTGGAGATTGAACCCAGGTCCTTTGTACTGAGCTACATCCCAGGCTTTTTAATTTTTTTAAGACAGGCTTTAAGTTGCCCAGATTGGATCAAACTTGAAATCCTCTTGCCTCGGCCTCCCACAGTGCTGGGATAACAGGCATGGGCTACCATACCCAGCTTTTCTGTATAATATGTCGAACATCTGTCTTCGTTGTAGGGTTATAGCCTTGAACTTTATGTTTTCTCTGGAATAATATTTCTTTCTTAAAAGTGGGTTTATTCTTTTCTCTCCTTGAAACTTGTCTGTTACTCTTACAGATGTATTATGTGTATTCTTCGTGTTCTTGTTAAAGATCAAAGTACCTGGCACATAATACGTACTCAATAAAAGTTAATCATTATTAATAATAAAAATACTGAACTTGCAAAGATCATATAAGATAAAGGCTCAGACTCTGTGTTTTAGCAGGAAGGGAAGTGAAATCTTACAAGGTAGAGACAGTAGGCATATTTGAGTTGCAGATTATTTCAGAACATTATTGCTGTACCCTGTAGTTCCTGTGATTATTTAATTTTCTGGAGACACGAATGCTAACTAGTGAGAAGTTAATGGTTAATGATTCCTGCCTGAGGGGCAGATAGACAAAGGAAAGCATTGAGAGATGAGAGGGATGCAGGAGATCAGGAAGGATTCAGGGTTCAGGCTCTCAGCACTTCTTCCCCTTTCCTTGCTCAGCTGCTCTCCTCCCTCTGAAAACCTCTCTTCAGTGGAGGGTTTTAAACCCAGTCACAATGCGTAACAAATTACTAGCGGTTTGAAGTATTAACCTGTCCAGGGAAGTTAACATTTTAACTGGGACTGAGATTTAATTTAGTGAGGCTGCCTGCAGGGGTTGGGAACAGAAATGAACAGTCTAGTCTGAGACCACAAGGTCTAGCAAGGACTGGGTGAAAATTCAAACTCAGTTTTTTAAAAATCGCTGTGCCAGCCAAACAAAATACACTGGAAGACTTGATTCAGCTTGCAGCCTGGTAGTTTGTTGCTCGTGAGTTAAAGAAAATATACGTGTGAAATTAGAATCATCATCTAGTAGTCCTTGACAACTGTGTGTAGATGGGTCCTGCTTTTAGGGAGAAGGGGGAAGGGTAGGAGAGTGGAGGGTTTAGTTGTTTTCTGGGGATGTGTGTGGCTCCTGGTGGGACCTTGCGCTGACCTACGGGAGGAGCCACAGGCTCCAAGCCAGACTGCTCTAGCTGGAGTCCTGCTTGGTGTAGCCACTTGCCTTACAAGAGGCTCTTGAAGGAGATACTAGAATGCTTCGTACTCACTGGGCTGTTGGGAAGGCTCAGTGAGATAACGCAGTGTCTGCCTCACTGCTGAGGACCAAGTGCGTTCAGTCAGCAGCTCTTTTTTGACTCCTGACCATGACGGTAGCTATGGGTACCTGGACATCTCCCCTCTAGTGCAAAATGCAGGCTTTAAAACACTTAGATAAATAAGTATCCAGTAAGTGGGGGAGCCATTCTACATTCATCCAAGAAGTGGCTCCTCGATTATGTAAGTGCATGGATACATTCTGTTTGTCAACAGATAGGAAAAGGAATGTTAAGTTTTATTTCCTTGAGACATTTTGTCCTTAAATCAAAAATTTTCTGTGATTATTGTTAAAGTCTGCTCCACTTGAGAAATGCTTCCCTATCCCCCCATCAAACAAACAAATCAAAGACATGAAATAATTGTCATTCTTCAAATAGGAAAATGCACAGTGCTGGACACTCTGGAAGAAACACAAGCGTGAAATGTATGACCTTAAATTATCAGGTACTTTGAAAATCAATTCATTAGGAATGTTCTGACATAGGCTCTTTTTCTTCCTTTCCCTGAATGTGGGTGTAAGGTGTGGTAAGGTCTGGAAGCTGCTGAACAATTCACTCTTCATCTCTGAAATTATGGACTGTGACTGTAGAGGACTGTGTGACAGCCGTCCAGAGGTCCTTTAGAGCATATAGTGCAATGGCTTTAAGACTGAATTCCAGTGGATTGGAGTCTATGGATTGAATTCTAGTAGGAAAAGAAGGATCCTGGGACCTGACAGCAGTCTGTTTGCCTCCCTTGGCCTCCTCCCTTCTCCCTTGGGGAGATTATTCTTCACTTCTTTGAGCCAGTTCTTCCCTGTAACACAGGGATCCATTCCTCTCCTCCTCAGGGACTGGGAGAATTAAATGAGACAGTGGATGTGAGTCCTCAGTGACGATGCTATTTTAGTTGCCATCATCTTTCTCTAGTGTAGTTTGTGATCACCCATTCATCTCTGCTTTGCCCACAGCTCTTTGTTTAGACTCTGGCTTGCTCTTGCCTGGACTTCTGTAGGTGCCTCCTTGCTGATCTCATCCCCAAACCATCCGTTCTGCGTTCTGCAGCTTAGACAGTTTCCCACAACCACTTGCACAACCATTTAAGAGACTTGCAACATCTTCCCATTACTTGACTTTCTTTCCTTAAGGTATTAGTTATACACATTAAAATTTACACATTTCAAAGTGTTTGATGAATTTTGGTAATTATGTACACTTGCATAATCACCCCATTATCAAGACACAGACATGTCCCTCACCCTCACCACCCTCACCTCTGTGGTTCTTTCTTTTCTCATTGCGAGTCAACTACTGATCAGGTTTCTGTCACTATACTTTCTTAGTACACTTTCTGTCACTTTTTTAAAAATAAACTTTAAAATTTTAGATTTACAGAAAAGTGACAAAGCTGGTAGTGATATTGTGAAATACATATTTGGTCCTCATCTTTATTTCCCCTCACGTAGCTCCCAAAACGCTTGGAATCTGCGGAGTGACAAGTGTCTTTTGTATGTCATTGGGCTGACTGGAAGCTAGAGGGCCCCCCAAAGACCCAGGCATGATTAGAAGAGTTAAAACTTAGTGCGAACCCTCAACATCCTGGGAGGTAAGAGGGAGTGAGATTGAATTGATTTCTAATGGCCAGTGACTTACCAGGCTGGGGATTTAGCTCAGTGGTTCCATCACCTGCCTTGCAAGAGTAAGGTCCTGAGTTCGATCCCTGGTACCAAAAAAGAAAAGCAAGTCCCCCAACCAATGGCCAATGATTTCATCAATCATGCCTGCATCATGAAGTCTCCTTAAATCCCCCAAAACACCCCAAATGGGGAGGGTTTGGGGAGCTTACAAATAGCAGAGCTCATGGAGGTTTCCCAGAGGGCTACACACCCAGGGAAGGCAGAGGAGCTCCGAGTCCCTTCCCACACACCTTGCCATAAGCATCTCTTCTATCTGTTAATCTGAACGCTTTGTAATATCCTTTATAATAAATGGGTAAATATAAGTCAAGTGTTTCCCTGGGCTCTATGAGCTATCCTAGAAAATTAATGGAACCCAAGGAGGGGATTCTGGAAACCCCATTTTAAAGCAGGTCAGTCTGAAGTACAGGTGACAGATGAAGTGGGGTGGTCTGTCTTGTAGGATCTGTCTTCATTTCCGGGTAATAGCAGAATAGAATCGGAGTGTAGACACTCAGCTGCTGTCTACTGTGAAAGATTGGCTTGTGAGGGGAAAATGTCCACTCATCTGATGTCAGAGGGTTGTGTTAAATGGAAAGAGTAGGAAAAGATACTTTGGTTTTTCTTATCTTTAATGCTAATATTGGGTTTCTGTAAACCCCACACCCAGTTTCCCCTATTCCTAACACCTTATATGAATATGGTATATTTGTCACAATTAATTAGCCAACATCACATGATCTTTAATATCTATTTTTTATTCATATTTCCTTAGCCTTTACAAAATGCCCTTTTTCTGTTCCAGGATCCTATCCATGCTACATTATAGTTAGGCTTCTATTGGTGCTGATAGTTTCTAACTTTCTTCATTTTTGGCCATCTTGACAGTTCTTCCCAACCCTTCTTATTTGTTTGATTTAGCTCAGTGGTTCTACTGCCTGCCTTGTAAGTGCAAGGACCCAAGTTCAATCCCCAGTACCAAAAAGCAAAACAAAAACCTCGAAATTTCAGAGTCCAGACTGGGGTTGATTGGCCCTATTGCTGCTTGGGCTGCAGTGAGGCAGCTGATTTCATGGCAGCTGGGAGGCAAATAGAAAGACCCAGGATCCCAGTACCCCATCAAGAACATGCCCATGGCCTGACTTCCTCCCGTTAGTGCGCAGCTCCTTCAGGTCCCGCCTCCTCCCAGTAGCACCGCAGGCCTTTAACTCATAGGCCTTTGGTAGTACCCATCCAGACCATGGCACACATGTGGTGTGCTTGGTGGCGGAGAGGAGCCTGGATCGATGTGGGAGAATATCAGAAAATAAACATTGACAGGTAACACAGAGTGGAGGCAAAATGGAGTGAAAGAGAATAAACAAATTCGGTGCTTCTCCCAGTCTTAATGTTGGGGGATGAGAGGTGGGGAGAAAGATTAAAGAGCTACCAGAGTAATGAGTACTTTTTCATTTTCAATGCCAGATATATTGGGTTCTGTCTTAGTACTGATCAAAGCAATCATTATGCAATACATTACCATATACTCTCCATTTCTCTTTTTTCAGTCTGTTGACCCAAATTGAGCTCACACTGTTCTAATTGTGGGAAATGCACTTGAGCAAAGGTCCCAGCTGAGGTGCTCTGAAATCCACTGCCGGGAGGCCACTGTTCCCAGGGTTGCTTCCAGCCAATCACAGTGCAGCACGGATCCTGAGGCAGCACACCTGGTCCTCTGAGGTCCACTTTGGCTTGAGGGCTCCTTGCCAACTTTGTTGAATCTCCTTTGACTGCACAGTGACCTAAAGCACTTGAGTCCACATTCTTTCTCCTTCCCTCAGTCTTAGGTACTTTCTTTTTACTGGGACAAAATACTCAACGCCCACGACTAAAAGGAGAGGTTTGGTTTGGCTCACGGTTGCAATCCATGGTGAGAGCTGGCTCCAAGGCAGGAACCTGATGGCAAGGGGCACGGTGGAGGAATGAATGGTCAGTCCCAGTGGGAACACCCAGCTGAACTGAGTCCCTGAGGTTCTGGGTGTGGAAGACCCACGGAGGACTACTGTCAGAATGCCATAAAAGGAGATCCAGAGGGGAGGACTGCATGATCCTGACTTCCCAGGAGAAACTGTTGCAGTGCTCTTCCTGACTGACTATTCTGGAAGAGGAGCTCAGGGCTCTCCCTGTTGCAGTCCTCTTTGGGAGCTCTGGTCTTTACTTTCGTCATGAGTGTAGCTTCCTAGCTCCAGGCAGATCCCTCAGCCTTGGAGCAGACTCTCTGGCCTCCAGCACCAGCCCTTGGGCTTTCCACATGGACCCTCTGGTCTTCCTTCGTGGATTCCTCGGCCTCCTGATGGAACTTGCATGGGACATCGCCATGGGCTCCAGGCCTTGGGCTGGACTTGTGTGGGACATTGCTGAGGGATCTAGGCCCTTGGCTGGATTCTTTGAGTCTCTAGTGCATGGACAGATCTCCTGGACTCTGCTGCATTTGCCTTTTGAGGTGAATACTGTGAGATAATCCTATAAATTTGTGTGTCCCCTAGTAAATTCCCTAGCACACCCTGACTAAATACATCAACCCTCAGCCAGAGAAAGGAGGGGCTGAGAACAGGAACACACCCTTAGAGGTCTGCCCCAGTGACCTTCCACCCAGCCCCACCTCTACAGCACATTCAGCTGCTGAAAGCAGCCGTGGATGAATCCACGGAGTATAGAGCCCCGTGATCCAGTCACCTCCAGACACTTTGGGGGACATTTGTGAGAGTCAGACTTGAGTGTGTGCCGAGTGCTCTCGGATTTTCTCAGCCCACCTCTCCATTTCTGTCGTAAGTCATTTTCATTAATAAAATTCTCAGCCATTTAATCCTAACCTGGTATCTGCTTCTTGGTATATCTGGATTAACACAACTTCCATAGGCACCTTTGTTTCAATTCTTATGGCTTCCCATGGGCCCATGCCAGCCCATTAAAGTAGATAGCAAGAATGTAAAGAAAATAGGCTATCAGACATTTAGAAGAATTTCACTCTGATCATGAAGGATTCAAAGCAAACAGTTCCATTACAAAATCTGCATACCAAAATAAAATAAAGAAAATATTATACTCTCATAAAAATCAAAAGGTGACTGACTGTTAAATGCTTGGGGCCTTTGAAGATACAAAGTTGCATGATCCTCAACTTTCATTGGTATCAAAATTATCCCCCCTTTTTAAATACAGCTAACTAGTTCTTTTTTCTGTCCACCTTTCTGAAGCTCTAGGCAAGATCTATAGAAGCAACTGCCAAAGATGAGATGCAGGCGTATGTAGTTTTTTACAGAATTTCTTCATGATTCCAATTTATACTGAAGTTTGAGAACCTTTGAACACCACTTCCCCATGGCTCCAGCAGTTGTTTATTTAGGAGTAGTAATGATTCAGACACTTCTGCCACAACCCTGAGACAGGAATTATAGCTATAGGGAACCCTGGTATGAAGTGGGTTGTGATACAGGGAAAGCAGCTAATAAAATGTGTGAATAGTAGGCACCAGAGCTCACCCTTGCAGGAAAATTATAAGAATCAGTGCAAAACAAATACCTCAGAGTTGCTCTATGCAGAGACAGGAGCCAGCCTATCTGTAGGTGTGTGGGGTTGGTGATTCTTTGCTCCTATGATCTGCCAAGCACATAGACAACACAGTGCACTGCATTTTCAAGAATAAAAGGCCGTGGGCAAAAAGATGCACATCAGCTGAAGATTCTGAGAGGTCCAGGGGTAGGGGAGGATATGAATAGAGTCTGCCTCATAAAGGTTGAGTACACTTGGAGGCTGGGAACATCTCCCCAACATTGTTTGCTTTCACCCATGACTTCGTAACGTGGTGTGATCATCTGAAAATAACACACGAGCCTGATATGCCTTCATTCCATGCCAAGACCCTTCCTAATCTATTAGAGTGACCCACTGGATGAAATAGAACAGTCCCAGTCTTTGCTATATTCCCCTCTCTAGTCCAGTGGCTGATTCCCAGGAACTTACTGAGCATGATGTTAGAGATGTTAGACTCAGTGTGGCACCATTAAATCGGTTTGTTTGTTTGTTTTTGGCACCAGCGATCAACTCGGAACCTTGTACTTGTGAGGCTGGCTAAATCAGAGCTTAAACTTCCCCTCTCTAGTCCAGTGGCTGATTCCCAGGAACTTACTGAGCATGATGTTAGAGATGTTAGACTCAGTGTGGCACCATTAAATCTGTTTGTTTGTTTTTGGCACCAGGGATCAACTCGGAACCTTGTACTTGTGAGGCTGGCTAAATCAGAGCTTAAATCTGAGCATAATACCCAGCTTAAATCTGAAATCTTCAGTCATCTTCAATCTTCTTTATAATTTTTGTCTATATCTCCCTCAGGCATAATTAATTACTCCATAGCTACACCCAACTGTAGGAAATAGCACTTCTTTTAGTTGTACAAGAATAGACCCTTACTGAAGGATGAAAATATCTTTTATTACAGAGGCTGTCTTTCTTCCAGTGTATGTTTTTGGCCCCTTTGTCAAAGATAAAATAGTTGAATGTGCTTGTGATTGTTTCTGCATCCTCTGTTCTGTCCCATTGGTCCTCATGTGTGCTTTTGTGCCAGTACCATGGTGTTTTTCCCCCCCATTGCAGTAGCTTTGTAATACATAGGCTGTTGGGAAAATTGTCTACTCACACACAAGAGATTGACTCCAGACCCATATGTCTCACCATGTACTAATCTAAAATAAAATAAATAAAAATAAAATGAAATAAATAGATCAAAGAACTAAATGTTCAAACAGAAACACAACCTACTGGAAGATATAATAGGTAAAAGTGTTGAGGTCAGGAATAGGCAAGGACTTTCTGAACAGAACCCTGGTAGTACAGGAAGTAGTTACAAGAATCAACAGATGGGATCATATCAAATTAAAAAGCTTCTGCACAGGAAAAGAAACAACTAACAGAGTGAAAAGACAACCTACAGAACGGGAAAAAATTTTTTGCCAGGAGTTCCTCAGAGGCCTACTATCTAGAATATATAAAGAACTAAAAAAAAATTAGATCCCTCAAAATAAAAGACCCAATTAAAAAATGGGCAAGTTAAATGAACAGACACTTCACAAAAGAAGTACAAATGGCCAGTAAATACATGGAGAAATGCTCAACATCACTGGCTATTGGAGAAATGCAAATCGAAACAAGAGTGAGATTCCATCTTACTCTGGAAAGGATGCCCATCATCAAGAAATCAAACAGTAACAAATGCTCAAAGAGGCTGCAGGAAAAAGGACTCCTTCTGTACTGTTGGTGGGAATGTAAACGGATGCAACTATTATTGGAAATCAGCATGGAGTTTCCTCAAAAAAACAAACTGGAAGGTATCCTCCTGAGTTAAAGACATCAGAGTACAGTGAACCATGCACACCCATATTTATAGCAGCACAACTCATAATTGCTAAAGCTTGGAAGCAGCCTATATGTCCATCAACAGATGTATGGATAAAGAAAATGTGCTATTTATACACAGTGGAATACTACTCTTCCATGAAGATAAACTTGAGTCATCTGTAGGAAAAGGGATGCACCTTGAGACCACACTCTTAATTGAAATAAATCAGACACACAAGCTTAAATATCACACTCATATGAGCAGCTCCAATTAAATATAAGAGCAAGATAGATCTTTCTCAGATGGGAAGGGGATCAAGAGATGGAGAGAGTGCAGAGGGAGGGGAGGGAAAGGGAATAAAAAAGGAATAAGATGTGTTATTTGCATGTCCCAACCCATCCAAGAAATAAACATCATTTAAATCCCCAGCCCAAAGTTTTGTTTTGTTTTTTACACCCAGTTATCTTAAATGCAAAGGTTAATTGAAGAAGAATCACATCCTTATTTATATCTTCAAATCTGTAGGTGTTTAAATCCCCAGCCCAAAGTTTTGTTTTGTTTTTTACACCCAGTTATCTTAAATGCAAAGGTTAACTGAAGAAGAATCACATCCTTATTTATGTCTTCAGATCTGTAGGTGTTTTGTTTTGTTCGGTTTGGTTTGGTTTTTCGAGACAGGGTCTCACTATGTAGTTGAGACTGACCTGGAACTGTAGCCCAAGCTGGTCTTGAACTCACAGCGATCCTCCTGCCTCAGCCTTCTGAGTGCTGGGATTACAGGTGTGCGCCACCACACCTGGTTGTAGGTTCTAAATAAGATCTCCTGAAGGCAGCATGCTGCTGGTGTTCTGTTTTGAACACATTACTCTCTAAAGAAATGGTTACTCTTGGTTATAGAAGTTGGCCCGCTTGGCATGTCCTCCCACAAAGATGGCCACATTTAAGTGTGGTTTGGGTGGTGTGGTCATAGACGTGAAAATTGAGCAACTTCAAACAAAGCTTCCAACCAGTGGTGAGACAGTCAACAAATGCCAAGATCTTTTATTTAATTAAGCAAAGTACCAGTTCTCTGAAAACATCTGATTGTTGCAAGTGAGAAGCATTAGTCTATCATTGGGTAGCTGGGTACACAACCAAAAAAGGAAGGAGATTAATACGTTTGAGACAGAACTTACTATGTGCAGTGCATTGTTAAGTCCTTTTATATATTCATCCAGTTAGTCACTCAACAAACAACTGGGTCTCACTGGCACTGTGCCAAGAGTTGGGAATACAGAAGTAAAAGGTCACCATTCCTGCTCTCCAGGAGCTAAAAGTCTGATGCGCAAGTACATTGATGAATTCAACCTAGCACGATGGAAGTGATAATAACACAAAGATGAGACCCTGAAATTCAACTCCCTGAGCACCTGATTCTTCCCAGAAGTGTCCTGTAGGTTGGCTTGGAGACATATGGAGACAAGGGGATGAGGAAGCGGGGAAGGGCATTCCGGGGAGAAGGAGCAGTATGCGTAGTGAGACAGCAGCACAAACTCTAGTGTAAGGCTTGGGAGGGGGACCATGTGAGGGCCCCTGCAGGAAAGGAAAGGAGGCTGCAGAGGTAGACGGGCAGAATATGAAAAGTTGCTCTGAAAGCCAGAGGATGCCTGGGAGGGCTGAAAAGCGGAAGTGATGGAGTCAGGTTTGTCTGCCTGAAAGACCCCACTGCAAGTGGTGACATTTGAAGGGAGACCGGCAGGCCGGACAGGGGCACCGGTTAGAACTGACATGGAGCAGTGATCAGTGGAGAGCGGGGATCCAGGAGAGGAGTCTGGATTCTGCTGACTAATGGTGGGGATTGCAGGGGTGCGGAAGGGGTGAAGAATGAAGGGTCCGCAGATAATTCCCAGGATCCAGCCTTATGTGATGGTGCAAATCAGACTGATTCCAGCCAGGGCCTGGATTAGGGTGTGGCAAGTGAGGCTCTGGCCTCAGACATAAAACCAAGGGAGAGCCAAACAGAAAGCTCAGTAATTTTGATAGCTAATATTTTAATGCGCTATTCTAAGAAAGCAAATGCACAAAATCCATGAGCAAAATGTCCACATTTTAAAGAAAGAATCTGACCTTGTGCTTGCAAGCCCTGGTTTCACTGACCTCGCCCTTACTGTGGTTTGTACACGGCAGACCTAATAGGAAAAATTAACCCATTTTCACGAGAAACTGCAGCCAGAA